ATATATATTATATTGGTTACAAATAAATTGTTGATTGTTAATTGTGGCTTATACAGGTTACATAAAAACAAAATTATTAAGGTAATTAAATAAGGACTTTTAAGTTTGGGGAGCTGGCTGGATGATGGGACTCCCCTTGATGCATAAATCAGTAGCTTCCTGGAAAACAGTTATTTCTGATCTTTGTTCAGTAATGGGAGCCCAAATAATTGTCATAGCCTATGGCGAGACACAGCCAAAATTAATGCTGCTTAAATGTTATTATAAAATGTTTGTTTTGGCTATCATCAAAGGGTAAAGTTCTAAATGTCTTATTATAATATGATTATATTGGTCATTATCAAAACACAAACATTTTCAGTAGGAAAAGCAAGGTGTTATTAAGAAGATGCCTTTGGTACCAATCTATATTATAGGACATAAAATTTGATATAATTATAATTGTTATTGCTACTTGTCTGGTGTACAAAATGTATTCATACTTTCTGATTGTACAGGTTTTCTAATATATTGATTTTAGTAATAACCTGTTAATTTAAGTATTTGCCCTTCTCCTATGATCCAGCTACTTACGACAACAATTACATTGATAAGCCAATATATTTTCTTTAGGTGACAATCTATCAAAGCAGCAATTTGCGTCAGAGTTTTTTATCAGCTTTTGTGGGGGACTGAGTGCACTTAACAAGGAACATTTAATACCAAGATACATGTCTAAGTTTGTGACAAAGATTATATCATGATTGCCATGCTAATGTATTATTATTATTACGTGTGGCTTCTGATTCAAGTTTTTTCTTTTAATATTCTACAGGAATTCTACTACTAGATCAACCATGATTGATAAAATAACAGTCTTCTAAGTATATTTTAGATTCCAAAATGCTTGCTATCCAGGTAAAATTATAATAGTTAAGCTCACTGTCACTACTGCACTACTGTCACTGATCTTTTCTTCTGGGTGTTCAATGACTAAAGCTAGGAGGCCAAATCTACAAAGGTAACTGGGCTGAGACAACTGCCAATAATTTGGGCCTAGCCCCTCAAGGTCAACAAAGACTTCGGGACTTGAGGAACCTTTTCTGTGGGATCCTATTACATTGGTAAGTCACCCAACCTCCTGAGCATGGAGATTGAAGGATACCAAAGGACAAATGTACCTTGTGCCAAGGGAGGGTTACAAAGAGGGAAAAATCTCCCATGCTTTCACTGAAGGCCTAAAGAGATTTGCCTGACTATGATAGATAGCAAGATGTTCATATTGACTGACACAGGTCTCACTTTAACTCAGTCTCAAACACCCAGCAGAAAAGAATAACCCAAAGAGGTGTAAAATGTGCCATAATAATAAAGCTAGGTATAAAAAGGGCTCCAGTCACTAACCCCTTCTGGCTGTTTCTAGCTCTACTAGTAGCTGACTATGGTTATGGATCATTAGGAAAAACTATGGTATAATCTACAAGAGCGGAGCTAGAGTTTCGCATTTATTTGTAAAATTTGTTCTTCAGATTGTCTCTTCTTACAGCTAAATCAAGAGAGACTTATGACAAAGTATCAGAGTTATAGATGAGCTTAATCAATGAAAGACTCTGAGAGCAACAGGTTATAATCACTCACTATTTCAGTATCTAAGTGAGGATTTCTTCCCGACCTGCCCTTCCATTCTTGTGCTCGGGCTTCTGTTTTTCATGCTCTACTTTCTTTAAAAATCTGGTTCATGCTTGCCTATCAGCTGCCAAATTCAAAGTGATCATACAGATAATATCAACAAGAAATGTGCTAGAATTTTTTTTTTTTTTTACTAATATCCACCATCTTCACAAGTTTGCCCTCCTGTACTCCCCTTTCTAATGGGAGCCTGAGTTCTGGCAGGAATAGGCACAGGGGTCTTGGGAATTTCAACATCAACACATTTCTCTTGCTTCCTATCTCAGGAGCTACATGAGGATGTAAAGAGGTGGCAAACTCCTTCAGCACCCTACAGTCACGATTAATCCACAAAGTCGTGGTATTTCAAAACAGGTTTGCTCTAGACATAATCACAGCAGAAAGAGGGGGATCTGTCTCATACTGGGAGAAGAGTGCTGTTATTTTGTAAATGAAATGTAGGCAACAAGGTAAAAGAACTTAGTGCATAAAAATGCGTAATCGCAATCTAGACAGGTTGTCATTACTCAGGATATTTTGACCAATGGCTCCCCTGGCTCCTCCCTTTCGTAGGACCCCTCACCATCTTCTCCATAATGTTGTTTGTTGGACCCTGTCTGTTTCACTATTTACAAAATTTCTTACAGGAACTCATGTGGGCCTTTTCCAATCAGATGGTCGGCAAACTCCTCATGGGCAGCTATCACAGCCCCTCACTACTGATGCTGGCTCCACCTACCAAGACCATACCTTGGCTGTCTAAAGCCCCCACCCAACATTGCTCCTTTGCTCACAGAAAGCAGTTGCAGAAAAAGAGACTTTAACCCCTGTACCATAATAACAAGAGTCTGGAAAGACAGAGCTCTACCAGACAAAATGCCCCAATGGCCCTACATTCTAAAATGACTACTGCTCCTAGAATGGTTCCCACTTATGGAAATGAACCATTTTGGAAATGTGCAACCTATCCCCTCTGGAGAAGCAAACCCTAACTTGTTGCTCCATCCTGCTACCCATGTGATCCTCACCTTCCAATCCCTGGCTGCCCATCGCTCAAATCACAGGATACTCTCCCTGCTATGCCCTATATAAACTTCACCCCAGTTAGTCCCACTCTCTCATCATTGTTTGAGGTAGCCTGGCAGCTCTTTCCCCCCAATAAAGCCTTGTCTTGGGGGAAAAATGTTATTGTGGCAAACATTGAAAAGGGTGCTAAGTAGGGAGAATAAGACTGCAGTTTTGGAGGAAATATAAACTATTTTTCTCTAGCTGACAGTGATATAGTGAGTCCCTATCTTAAAATATGGAATAAGAAAGAGATTAGAAATATTGACAATGGTCTGGGGTCAATCCTTATGATCACAAAAATAAGAAAACATTTACTAAGGTACATTATATTTTGGGCTGTAAAATGCACTTAAAATTTAAAAGAGTAAAAATCACACAATTCTTACTTGAAGACCACCAATAAATTGAATCAAAAGTCACCAATGTGAAAATAACTAGGAAAGTTAAAAATACATACATTACACAACACATTCCTAAAAGTCACATGTCTAAAAAGATATCTCAGTAGAAATTTTTAAATAGATGAAAACCAAACTAATTCAATCTCAAAAAGGGGGAGAATTCACATTTGTCTAGAATAGGCTACAGCAAGTTATAAGTTTCAATGAAATAATTTTTGATAGGAAATCTCTGCAAGAAATCTGAAGGTTAGCTCTGAAATTAAAGCCTTTTCTAGATAATTTTTGTTTCAGTATCTTGGCCTCATAATTGAATTGAAAGACTAATGTTCTTTGAAGCAGATGATCTTGTCATTCAACTTTAGAATGTGCTGTGTGTTCAGCTTTATTGACTTAGTGTCTATTTTCCTTGTTTCAGATCATTAAAATTTTAACATGAAAAACAAGTCATAAGAGATCACTGTCTTATATAAAAGACCATGAACTTAGCCGAGCACTGAGTCTACGATCTACTTGAGACCTCCGCTTTCCGTAAATTGGTTCTTCCGTTTACCACAATGGCCCTCGTGGTGCTCCTTGTGATCGGCCTGTGTAGCCTCATGGTTTCAAGCCGTAAGTCAGATTCACCTTCTAAAAGAGATTTTGCGGTCCAATAACTAAGGAAGGGGTAGGTTGGAGCATCTTCCCTCTGGGTCAATGTGCACATCTTTCCTTATCAAGATATAGATGAAATCTCTCCTCTTTTCTTGCTAACAAGCTGTGGTTTATTTTCTTAGTGACCTCAGTATACTCAGTGAAAGGTGACACATCAGTAAAATTTAATCATACAGCGTCTGCTAACAAAACATACACACACTTCACGAGAAGAAAAACAGTATGGTGTTTTACTCAACAGATTGTGTTACCCTTCTGTAGGGGGCTTTAGTGGATTCTGTATCTCACGGAAAACCCACCACAGTGTCAGACCTTAGAGAAGAAACTGAAAATGAATGTACAGCAATCTCAATTTTCAAGGTTAAGCAAGCAGCAGTTTACTGTACTAATAAATGTCTGGAAGGTAATACTCGCCACTTAGAGCACCTCTTGTAATTGTAGAGGCCAGAGGTAACTTGTGTTAATCTCATGATGTCTCAACTGTTCTTCATTTCCTGAAGTATGCATACATTTTTTGGCAGATGCTGTATTTCCTTTTTAGCAAAATTAAAACATCTTAAAAACAACTAGCAACTATTGCGATGATGATGATGATGATGATGATGATGATGATGATGGTGATGATCATGGTGATGATTTACTGCTGCAGACACTCTTTTATGTGTCCATGACAGGACTGAGGGGCAAAAGGACACAGAGGAGGTCACCCCATGGTGGAAATTACACTTTGAAAATTAGACTGTATTCAACTGGAATTTTTTATTTCTTTGTTTCTTCACACAGAGGTGACTGGCTAACTTTTTTACTCAACACAGAAATCGATGCATTGCTAGTATATCATGAAGCAATCTTGATACTGAGAGTCATAGTGGATCAAGCTTCATACAAGCACAGATTTACACTGCTCTTGTCAGGAGTTTCTCCTAGCTTTTCCTCAAGCTGAGAGACAGCACATTTTCTAATTCTAGTCAGCTCCATGATGACTACTGCGGCAGGATCTTGAGGTGAAAACTGACGATCCTGTTCACTCTACTCACCAGATAATGAAAACTACAGGATTTCTTTAATCCTTATGTCTACTCACCGGACATTGTCAATTTATTGTCCATACTTCCTTACCACTAAAAAGCCATTATTATAAACACAGGAGAAGAAATCGTTTGTGAGAGGGAGAAGATACATCACCAAAGAACAAATTATTTTAGAGTGTAAAGATATGAGTCTATCTATGCTGAGTGACAGATGAAAATTAGTGCTAGGACTAAAGGGCATAATTAATATTTTAAGTTTACTGGTGATGTGGGGAAAGAGAATAGGTACAGAGATTAATATTCTATCACTCTTTGGTAGAAAGTCACAGAATAACATAAGGTGATGGTCCCCAAAGGTGAAATACAACTATCTGGTAATCACATTTATAATGTTATAAAGTTATAGTCTAGAAGCTTTGCTATTGAATGCATTATTGGATCAAAAATCCAAATGACTGATTTCAGCCTTCTGCTCTCAGGATGAGTTGTCAATTATTTGATTAAAGCTTCGTCTGAAAACAATTTTTACTAAGATAAACAATCCTGCTGAGCAACGCGTTTTCCTGATGTCAGCTGTATTTCCATCGTGTTAACAAAGCTGTGAATTGGTTCTTAGAACCCAGTGCCTGTCCTCACCCTCAATGATGAAACTGCCCTACTGCACACCACAATGAAGCTCTTACCATTCTTGATGTTCATGAGCAAAACTAATCACCCAGAATTTGGTCATGACTCCAGATGCTATTTCAATACTACGGCTTGTATAGACGCAGTGAAGGAGACCTAAATAATCAAAGAAATGGAGATTGCTATAAATTGTTTTTCAATGATTATGTCTCAATATTCTCTGTAACTTCACACTTTCTGCAGATCTCTCTGTCAAACCATAGATGCAATTGCAATTCAGTAAATCTATAAATCTATTGGCTGCCTGCTAATAGTGAAAGTAAATCAAAGCGTGATTAGCATCCACATAAAAAGTCCTATGGGAGGGGGGCTGATTTGTTGAACATTACTGGGAATTAGGATGACTTACTTACTATCTTGGTGGTATAGGTAGAAACAGGTAAGTATAAAAACCCTGTTCTCAGAGCTAAGACAGACTTGAGTGAGAAAAACAATCTCTCCTCCAGGCAGCATCTGAAAATCTGTCACTTGTCCCTCCAAAACACTCTCCCCATCATGAGGAACATAGACTCAATTGTCCTCAATTTCAACACATCTTATAAACATGGGAATTAGTGGTTGTTTTCATGATGTACGTGAAGCACCTGTAACTTTAAACATTTTAAGAACTATTTTTTGGTTTGAGTTTAACTTGCTCTTGTTCCACGACTACTGACACAAATTATTAAGAACAAGAAAACATTCCCTGGGTAATAGACAGACTATATACTCCTAATCCTAATGGAGCTGTTAGGTTAGAACTTGCTCCAACGCCTCCACTAGGAGCTACACTACAATACTACAAACTCTTCTTCTCTTTATTTAGAGGATCGTGCTACCCTCACCTCCACAGATGACACTGAAATGGTGAGTCTGAATTTTTTCAACTTTCAAGAATTTGATGTCCACAATTCAATGCTATATTTCCCCAGTCTTTTACAACTTAATCTGTCCAGCATGTATGGCTAAATCTGAACTTGATGACGGTTTGGTAAGAAGGTTACCCTTATCTACTTCTTTCTTTCACATTTTTGTTGGAGCAACAATTATACTTCCTGCTTCTGGGTGACACTTGAATTCCTTAAAAGAAATTAAAGGAGACATTTTTCTCTGCTTCTTGAATTGAAGAGTTTATTTATTTATTTATGTCTCTCTGCTTCTTAAATTCCAAGCTATGAAAAAAATAGCTCCTTCATAAATGTTTAACATGAAATCTCTGAAAAAAAATGATTTAATATAGTCACATATTCATTTTTTAATTTTCAATAAGAAAAGGAAAAGAAATGTGCTCCGACACTACATGAGGAAGCACTTAAGGTAAGAATAGGATTTCCTGCATGGCACAGAATTAGCATTTTTTTTTCTCAATTTCTTTAATATGCAGAGCTAAGTTAGCATTCCAAACAGTTTATGGCAAAAACTAAAGCAAATTTAACACAACCCAGAATGCAGAGAGTAAAGAGAAGATGTGTGCATGATGGGCAGTGTCAGGAAACAATGTTTCTTAATGAAGTACAGCTCTACATTTTTTCTTTCTGGAGGAGCTCAAGAATTCTCTTCATCTAACACAATCATCCACTTTTCTCAGGAGCGCAAGGTGCCGGAGGAATTCATTATTGCACCACCATCACTTTATGTAATTGTAAGTTTATCTTTGGGCTTTCTCACCCCCACCCCCTTGGACTTTCTTAATGACCACCAGTGCTTTCTCCCATTCATTTCCAAGAACAGGATGCACAGTAAAAAGGATAGTCCCATGTGTGCAGTCTCTCTACTTCTACTGAGTGTATTTGAAAATATTTCATATAAAGAACATAAGAAGAAATATGTAGCATAGTCAGCTGTTTATTGGCTCTTGATTATGTCCTTAAGCCTGAAAGCAAAGGCTAGGGAGATGTGTATTTTAAAATCTAACAGAAATGTTAGCATTTGGAGGACAGGGACACTTAAGTGGAGGGGAGCAGGGAAATCCTCCTGAGGCGTCTCTCAAGTAAGAGTCCAGGAGGAAAGGACAGATCCAACACCATCCTGAGTGAGGTTCAGGAACACTTAAGTGCAGAATATGGGAACACTAAAGTCATTGTAGTATCTGAGTTACAGAAATCATGGAACTCTGTGCTCTAAATACAGGTTGGATGACAAAGTGTAGGTCATAGAACAATTTTCCAGAGGCAAAAGGAAGGCTTGGTTATTCATTTCCCAAGCCCAGAATCCATTCTATCCAGGTATCCAGTTGTGTGATGTGTAGAAAAATGGAAGAAAAAAAATCACTGCCCCATGTTTAATGAGGGCATAATAATTCTTTCAAAATGTGTGTAACACAAAACTCAAAAGACTTTGAGTTGGAGACTTTCCGTAGGAAACCACGGATTGAGCAGCCAGACTTCCAAGTCAAGGTGTCTGTGATTTACTAGGGAGCTGAGGAGATGGTGCCAATGGCAGGAGAGAGCACAGGTGTTGCTGTCATAAAAAGGTGGATGAAAGTGGCTCTCAGGGAGCAACTGTTAAGGTACATGAACCATACATTTCTATATATGTGTGTGTATGCAGACATGTGGATACAGTCATATGCTTATATGTTTGTACTTATCGTGCATACAAGTACCCATGAGATTTATATGATGCATATATGACTTGTAACTAGATGTTCCCCAGAAGCCTCGTGTGTTCACAGGTAGGGCTTTTCTTAGGTGGCTGGATCTGGAGTGTGTGAATCTGAACTAAGAGTGTGTGAATATGGATTGAGGGTAACAAAATTAGTCCACTGATTGGTTTAGCAGTTTGGGGTGTAGCTAATGGGAAGGCCCATCCTGGGTGTGGCTGGCACCCACCAATAGGCTTGTAGCCTGGGTGATGGCATCCAGGGACAGATGGAGGACAGGCTCACTGCCTTCTGCCTGCCATGCCATGAACCGTTCCTCCTGGGTGATGCCCCCCTGCCTGGCCATGCTACCTTAGAGCCACTATAGACTATAGAGTGAAAACTCCACAGACTGTGAGCTGAAATAAACCTCTCCTCCTTTAACTTGTGTCAGGTATTGTGTCTCAGCAACAAGAAAAGTAACTAAGACAATTTTAGAAAGGAATTCCAGGAAACCTCTCAAAACTCAATAGAACGTGAAGGACGATTTCTATCTTCTATGCACTATCTCACCCAGGTTGCCTGGGAAAACATTGCAGGAGCATGATGTTGACAATTGGCACATTCACATGGACATACTTAACTCAGAACGCCAGCATTAATTCAAGATGTTACTTGAGCTGGGGCTGTAGGTCAGAGATAGGACACTTGCCTAGCAGGTGTGAGGCCCTGAGTTTGATCCCTGGCACCACCAAAAAAGGATCACTTGATTTGATCCACTCCTATTGTTTTGGCTGTTTTTATTGTTACAGTTTAAATGGGTGACTTTGTGTAGCAAAACCTAAAGGTTAGCGTGAACTAGATTGGGTGGTAAAGAAATGTTCTGAAATGTTCTGAAAATGTTCTGTCTAATTTCTGCAAAACTCAAAACAAGAAACACAAATAGTATAAATGTCCTACTCTCAAAAAAACTATTTTTGAAAAAAAGAAGCTTCTAATTTTTTGTTGTTGTTCTTCTTGCAGATTCCAGGACGTATTCTTTCCTTGTTCAAGCATTTAGTGAATAAAACTGCTACCTGACCATGAGTAAATCAACAGTTAAATACCTTCATCTCCTGGATCTCCTTTCTTTTCAACTCTTCATTTTTTCTTAAATTCCTCCCCAAATTGTTATATGGGAAAAGGCTACTTCCCTTTCCACGTCCCTCATTAAGTCTCTGAAATAAACCAGCAATTGATGAAAATCAGCAGACAATAATGATGTTAAAAATTCATTGTGGTTCACAAGTGCATCACATGAGGAAAAGTTATTACACAAAAGCAAAGTATAGGCTACATATCTGTATATCCTCTTCCTAAGGTAGAGGGGAGGAGGTGACAGCCAGCAGGGGCTGTCACCCAATGGAGATGGAGTCTCCCAGTGACAGCCCCCTGTGGCCTTCTCTGTGTCAGCCAGGCTTCAGGCCCCCAGTGTCCTCCTGGGAAAAGATCTTCCCTAGCAGAAGGGGAACCTTCAACTGGAAGAGGCCTCTGCCTGTATCCGCTGTTCACTAAGTTAGATCAAGGGAAACGTCGTTTTACACAACCATAGCTCCTCAGAGCGGTTTCTGTATCTGCCTGCTCTGCAGTTTCCCTGAATAACCAACTGCACATGTGCCAAAGAAATATATTTGGGGAGGTATTTTACACTTCCACACACTTAACCTTTTATAGAAAGCACAATTCAAACATCTTCATGCAGAGACATGTGCTATCTACCACAAGGCAGTCTTGAGATCTTAGAATCATAATACAAATGAAAAATAATTGAGGTGTGTTATGTACACAGACCAAATTCTCATGAAGAATGTGATCATTATATACACAAATATGTATTAATAAACATAACAATTGAAAAAAAGAAAAGTGTGACTGTTTTAAAAACATGGTTTATTTGAGTTTAGAATAACTTCTCTTGATTTGCCTGACACTTTGGGTTTCATCTTGTACACTGCACTCTTTTTTCTTCCTCTTAAATTCTTTTATTGATATATTTTAGGTATACAATACATTTATATTCATCACTGGGAACTTGTACCTTTACATGATTCATCTTGGTTATTATTTTTCCACATTCCCCTGCCCACCCTCCAACCCTCCCAGTTTGCAAAAGCTTTATTTCCATTGATATCTTTTCTCATATTTTTTCCTTTTCCTTCTTTGCTTTCCCCTATAACCCCCATTCGCCTACCCCTTAGTACCTTTTCTTGCTATTTCACAGTATCAATTATTCTTTTTAATTGTTATTTTCACTTTCGGTTTCCCATACCAGAGGTACTATGTGGTATTTATACATGTGTGTCCCATTTATTTCACTTAAGAATAAGTCCTCAATATGCATCCATTTAGCTATAAATGACTCTAATTTCTCATTCCTTGTGCCTGAGTGGTACTTCATTTTATTTACACACACACACACACACACACACACACACACAGACACACAGACACACACATTTTCTTTATCTACTCTCCAGTTCATGGGCACACAGGCTGCTTCCAAACTGAAGCTATTACAAACAGTGCCGCTATGAACATGGGTGCACATATATCACTGTGGTATGATTCTTTCAATTTTTTTTTCAGGAAGATACCCAGTAGAAGAATAGCTGGGTCAAATAGGACCTCCAATCCTAGTTTTTGAGGTATCTCCTTATTGATTTCCATAGTGGTTGCACCAGTCTGCACTCCCACCAACAATGGAGAAGGGTTCCTTTCTCCCCACAACCCCGCCAGCATTTGTTATTGGCTGAATTCTTGATAGCAGCTATTCTTTCTGGGGTGAAGTGGAATCTCACCATGTTTTCATCTGAATCTCTTGAATGACCACACACTGCACTCTTTTTAAACATCTGCCAATTTAGTGTTGTGTTATTCAAACTGATCTCATTAATGTTTGATTTCTCATCATTTCATCCCTTAAGTGAGTAGTACTCAGCCATAAAGAATGATAAACTAGAGTCATTCATAGGAAAATGGATGCATATGGAGGCCGTACTCTGAAGTGAAATGAATAAGACACACATGTAAATACCAAATAGTTTCTCTGGTGTGAAAAACTAAATAAGATCCAAATTGTATGACTGACAATGTGAAATAGGAAGAAAAGGGCTAAAGGAGTAGGAAAAGTAGGAAGGGTCGGGGTAAGGAAATAAGGGAAAAGGAAAAATATTAGAAAAGGAAAAAAATGGAAACAAAGTCTTTGTAAAAGGGGCATGGCAGGGGAATGGGGAAAAATAAGAAACAAAAAATAATAAAAAAGTGAAAACTTGTTAAGACTTGGAAAAAAAGGAAAACATAATTCACATTATAACACAGCACATCATTTTAGTTATTACCTTAAATTCTTTGACAAGCTGTTCCGTTTTGAGCAAGAGCAGTACTATATTTCAATATCCTTTTTAGTTAGTTATCCAGTCAGAATTCCCAAATAGACACTATTTACTTCTGCAGAGAAATTTAAATAAGATTTAATTTTGAGAAAATCCTGACTTGGTTCATTGACCCTGGGATTTGGAAGCATTAGCAAGTAAAATAGAGGTAAAATTAATGAATGTAAATAATTAACACACAGAAAGTTCCTCCAGTAACTCCAGGATCATCACAGCATTGAGCCAATAAAATTAGTGTTCTTACATCTTTAAGTGAAAGAAAACTAAGCCAAAGAAAAAAACAGCAGAAAGAGAAATGGACAGACACATCCTTCACAACTAATAATGTGCTATTGCAACACCATTTTTGTGTTCTAATTCCAAGGTGAGACATACAGAATGCGTGCAAGTAGAATGATTGCTGAGAGAACGAAGTGCCTTTATGGCCCAGATTCTGAGAAATAGACATATTTGTCTTTAAAGTGCTCCCCTAACCATTAAGCGAAAACTTGGTAGAAAACTGAATGTTTCAGTTTTATTGTTTATAAGGTTTTCTTCTGTCCAAGGACAAGAAAAGTCTGGAAAGACATGAAGGACTGACAATTGCAGGGTCTTACAGGAGAACATTTAGTAGATAGAATTAGTTAGATTGATTTAAGTTATTAGTGTAAACAATCCAAACTGAAATTCAGGGATGCTAGCGTTTTCTGTGACTGATTAGAAGAAATTCAATTAAATCTTTGGTATTCCTATTCACTTATTTCTATTCTTGGCACTTCTTTTTTGGGTTCAGAGACAGGGAAAAAACTGTAATAATTACCTGGAGGACACAAATTCAGTTTTATAGCTCCAATTATGACAGAACGATCCTCATCAACACAGAAATTTATTAAATTCAGTTTTCTTTTCTCTTTCTTGTCTTCCCTGATGGAGACCACCCAGAGTGAGCTGCAGATTCATGAATTGGCTCTTCGTGTTAAAAGTCTGAGTTTTCCTATTAGCCCACAATGGGTTGCTTGAAAAGCCAGCCCTTGGTGTGTGGGAACAGAGCAACTCCCCACACCTCTGGTCACAGTGGAGGTTTCAATGAGCCTTGAGGCTGTGACATCTTGGATGGCAAGACAACATTGCAGCTAAGGGCAACATGACTTGTACATAAAATTTCTATTGAAGCAAAATTAATCAATGGAATAAACCAAATTTCCATCAATTAATGATCTGTTCCTGATGGACCTTGAGAGCATACACTTTAGTGAAATAAATCAGACACACGTTTAAATACTGCATTGAAAATAAGCACTGAAATGTATATGGATGTTGGAAAATGGAAAGAAAGTGTTCAGATGAAAGGGGAACAAGGGATAAGGGAAGGAGAAAGGAAAGGAGAGAGAAGAAAAAAGTGAAAGTAGAAGGAAAAAATGCAAACAAAACTTTCCATGCATAGAGAAGGGAGGAGGCTTGAGGGGGAAAGGGATACAATAAAGTAAAATGTATTAAAAATGATATTTTGTATTCAAGAATGTCTTGTTTCCTTGTTGCTAGGACCATACTTGAGTCAGTACTCTCTACACCATTGTTACCCAAACTGACATTTACCCCTTTGAGAAGTTGTTTGTTCAATAAATAATGGCCAACTTCAGAGACAGCTCTCAGCCTGAGAACAGCTTTGACCATCTTTCCTCCTCTATTCAGTGGAGACCTTGTCTTGTCTTTGTTATCCTGCTGCAGTACCCTTGGTGGTTGGAAGTTTGCACAGCTTCCAATACCTTCTCCCTTCTTTATTCCTCCTTCCCTTTCTTCCTTTCTTCCTTCCTCCCTCCCTTCCTTCCTGCATTTCTCAACTGTACTTGGTAACATGACCAATTGAGTTTATCTATTACTCTTGGATTACTTCCACTTAGCACATGTAAATATACTGGATTATCTGACTTCTACCATAAATATTTTTTAAAACTAGATCAAGTGATTCTAAAGATAAGGGTTTATTCTGGTCAATTTTCTTAATACTGTTTTCTTAACAGATATACTAAGTAAGTTTAATCATATAAATGAATTCATATTTTACATTTTTTTTAATCTGTTATTTTGGACCTTCACATTAGCTTTAAAAATGTAAAAAGTAAAATAGTTCTTAGGTTATAGATACATAATCAACAGTTCTAAAATGAAAAAAGAGTAGCTGTTTAAGAATGAAAAATGATTTATCTGGGCTACATTTTATTATTAACCAAAGTTAGTGGACAAAGTTATACACATACATGACTTAATGTTTACTTACTTATAAAATAAAACACAAATATAGCATACCATATGAAATTTTTATTACACTAACATTGCACAAGATACTTTTAAATTCTCACAATAAGGAATAACATTGATTTTTTTTTTCATCACCTCTTCCATTTTACTTTCTCTTTTTTTAGATAGAGTCTCAGTAGGCAGTTCAGCCTGCCATTAACTTGATACATAGCCTTGAACTCTCAGTTATCCTCCTGCCTCGTCCTTCTAAGTGCCTGGATTACAGGTGTACACCACCAGGCCTGGCTACAAATTCCATTTTAAAATATCTTAGAAAAGATAAACACCTGAAATTGTAAAGCAGGACATAATTAATACAGAGAAAAATCAAAGTCTCAGATGTTACATTAGACAATCATTTTAAAGTAAGTAAGATTTTATGAAAAAATGTGATGAAAAGAACTTAACCTAATATACATCTGTATAGAAAACTGACAGTTTGAAATAACTGATACACAAGGTTGATAAAAATAATAGTTTAAAAATTAGCTACATTTCTATGAGAGAAGAGGAAGAGGT